TTCCTCAGGGTGCATTCTCCCTCTGGGTGCTAACTGGTTTTCCTATTCATTGGTCCAGTGGTTTTGGACCTCCTCTGGCTCTTATCACCAAGGGGTCATCCAAGTAGGTCAAAGAAGAGGAAATCAAAGTTCAAAGAAGGGATTTGAAGGGGTCCAACTGTTCCCCAAGATACACTGTCTACTCTAGATAGACTCCCCAGCAACTTAAGAGGGAAAGCCCTAACAGTGCACAAACAGGTCCCACTTTCTGAAGGCCAAGCTGGCAAACTGGGAAAGGGAAGGTGGTTACTTACTGGATCCAACTACCACTGACTGAATCCCTAATATGAGCGGCTCTGTGCCAGGTACTTTCTGCCTGTTTTTTTCCACTTCAGTGTCCTGATATCATTATGCCCATTTTACAGAGGAGGAAAGCAAGGGCTAGAGGGATAAAGTGACGTGACTCAAATCACACAGCAAGTCATTGGCAACAGAAATTCCAAGCCCAGTCTGCCTGATAATTTGACGTGAAAAGAAACACAGATCTGCTAGGTCAAACCCAGAGCTCCACGTGAGACTTGGATTCATGTTTTATCCCCTTTAATCTGTAGGCGTATGGTCAGCACAAAGAGATGCAGGAAAGAGTGGCGACATTCTGCAGCAGGTCTAAAGAAGGGAATGGGGGTCATTCCTTCTCTCTCCAAAAAGACTGCTGAAGAAGAAACAGGCACTTAAGACTCGAGTTCATATCTGGGCTCTGTCCACTGCAAGAGCCCGTGGGACTTTGGACTAAGTCGCTTCAACTTTCCGAGACTTTGTTTCCTCACTTGGAAAACAGAGGTAACAACGTCCACCTTCCAGGGCGGTTGTGAGGATGAAACTCGCAGACACAAGGCAAGCGCAGTACCCGGCACCTCGGAGGCACCCAGGAAGAGTTGCTTTCCTTCCTGCCTTTAAGTGTCCTCAGTCCATAAAGCCAAGGCTGAGGTCATTGGAAAATCATGTCCAATAACAAGATCACAGTTTATTGAGTACTTACTATCCACTAAGTCCAGTTCTAAGCACTTTCTACGTATGAGCTCATGTAATGCGTCAGGTCCTCGTGCTACACTCACTTTGCACGTGAAGAAGCTGACGCCCAGAGGAATCAGTTAACTTTCCCAAGGTCACAAAACCAGTTAGGGGCAGAGGAAGATTCACGCAGAGGTAACCCAGCTACTAAAACTGGCTTCTCACCCCATGGCAATATCCTAGACCCCAGGTGCCACTATGAATGTTGTGGGGAGAACCATGTTAATACATGAACTTCTTGAAATCTAGCCTTCCCTGGGGTTACAGTTCTGAAGTTGTGGAAATGCAGGCACTCTTTTTGGGGGGTTGGTTGGGTTGCGGGAAGTAGGGGCTGCAGAAGGGAGGAAATAAAAAGTCTCTTCTGAGTAGTCGCTGAACTCAACAGTCCAACATTTAGAACAAAAGAGAAAAGCACGGAAAGCGGAGGTGCTGGAGGGGATTCAGGTAAATCCCTTTCTCCTTCTGAGCAGGGACTCTGGATCACTGAGGGGTGGGGGGGGGAGGAGGGCAGCGCTTGTGGGGTCCACATTTCACTTATCTAACAGGTCAGGAGACACTTTAACAAGATTAACTGCTACTCAGGGGCCTCCGCTCCATGGAGCAGCAAATTGACTCTATTGTTTTCTTTTTCTTCCTCTTTTCTCTTTCTGTCAAACTGGAGGGGTACGGTGGGGGAGGGCAGCTGGGGATGAGGGGCAAGGTTTGGATCCTGCCTGGTAAAAGGCGAAGGGATGTGTCGGGAAGGCCCCCCCCCCGCCCCCATACTTGAAAGGGAGCCCAAACTGCCGAGCACCGAGGCTGAGGGCTGTGCTGGGTGGTGGGTCTGTGAGGGGTCGGAGGTGACAGGGTTTCTCAGACACATTCTCTCAGCAGTGTAGCGGGTACGGTCTGGAAGTGGGGATACCCAGGATCAAATCCTGGCTCCTGGCATTGGGGAGCTGTGTCATCCAGCACACATCCTTCCCCTCTCCGCGTCTCTGTCTCCCTGTTCAGCCAAAGAGAGAAGCCTGGGTAACCTCCAAGGACCCTCTTCACAATAGCCTTAAAGGACTCTCCAACGCTCAGAGCATCCATCGCTGGTGGGCTCTTCAACCCTCAGACTCCCGCACACAGGCACTTCCGCACTTTAGCTTTGTTTTTGCATGCATAAGCCTTCCCAGTTTTATTTGTTAATATATATATATATGTATTTATATATATTTCTCTCCTTCCCTTTTGGAAAAAATAAAAGGCATGTTTTCTGAGCTTCAGAAGCAAACTGCTCCTTCACTGCTTCCCTCTGCCTCTCCGAGCGCCTGTCTGAACTGGTGTCAGTGAAGTTTGAACCGGGGCAGAAATAGCATCCCAGGCGGATCTGGGAGCATAGCCCGCCTACCAGGAGCGGCAAGGCCTGCCTCTGCCAGACGACAAACCCGGTTAACAGCACCATAAAATTAGACCTTTACGAAACCCAATTGAATCCTGCAGCAAAGAGTGATGTAAGGCAGCCTGGCCTGACAGCAAGGCAGCAGCCCTCTGCCTGAAATAGCAGCGCGGTCCCTGCTGAGAGATGCCTGCTCTCTCAAGATAGGTGACCAGGGATTCCTACGAAAGTGGTGACGCCCAGCCAGAGAGAGCCAGCAGAGGTCAGGCAGCAAACTGGGCACCCGAGGTCGCAGCGGGAGGACACGGTTTGGCACCGGCATCCAAACTGCCCACCTCGGCCCGGCCTCTCCCAGCCTGAACTTACACGAAGGAAGGAGCTGAAAAAGTGCTTCTGCAAAGAACCTCTGTTTGTTTGCTTTTTAATTCAAGGAGAAGCAGGTTCTTTTTAGTCCAACAGTCTGTACCGTGTGGAGGATACGCAGAATGAGTCTTTTCTGGCTCAAGGCCAGGTGTTTACACACCGCAAATCTGGCTCAGACTCAACTAGGGGAGGGAAAAAAAAAATCCACCAGAATCCTCAGGAGAAAAGCTCTGAGCTTTCTGGTGCTACACGGCAGCAGTGACTTTTTTTTTTTTTCCTCGTTTTGTGAGGAATGTTACTTCCACACATAAAATGGACCAGGCATTTTATACAAGCAATAATAACCTAACGTCCCCCATCCAATTAAAGGATTTTACTGCACTATCTTTGTGTGAGACAGCGAATGAGTCCTCAAAAGAGCGTGTGTGAAGAGAGGCTCCTTGTCTGAATTACAGACATTTATAAAGCAGGCTCCTGTGGAATCCCAGGTGCTATATATTTTTTTTTTTTTGAAAAAATGCATTTACTACCTTTTCATTGATGATACCTATATAACCCTGCACTCTCCCCTCTGGAGGAGAAGCCTTCCAAATCACTGGTGTGGCAGGTAAAGACTAGGAAAAATCAGATCTACTTATTTAAAAAAAAAACCTCCAATCTGCAGGCTCTGTGTTTTCCTATGTTCCGAAAGAGAAGTAAACATACCACAGCCCTGAATTATAATCATCATCATTATTATTATGAATAACATCTCCCCTCTACTCTACATTATAACCCCCTCTGGCTGACTAGGTAGGGCTTGAGGGCTAAAAGTGAATAAGCTCAGTTTCCCTCTCCTTCCTGGGGTGGGGGGGGGCGGGAAAAAAAAAAAAAAAGAAAGAAAAGAAAAAAAGAAGCATGTGATGACGTCAGGTATGGGGGAAAGTCACTTTCTAGCTCTCGACTTGGCAGCGGGAGAGTGGGAGCTTTGGGGGCATATTCTTGGTATAGCAGCAGAGTTCGGGTCCCCTAAATGGACTTGATGTAAATAGGACAGCGTTAGCGCAACGGTTGAGAAAGTCCACGCCAAAATAGAAAGAAGCGGGCTGCCGGAAGAACTCAGAGCTTTCCCTTCTAAGAAAGTGTGTGTAAGGGGGTGGGATCGCAAAACGCCTCCACACGTTTCCTGGCTGCAGCGAAAGGGGAACCCCTACTCTCACTTTGAGACGTCCTAGGACACGGCAAGACTGTTTGTGCAGGAAGGGAATCTCCCAGCCAGAAGAGGCAAAACTTTCCTTCTCTCCTCCAGCGCCGCCCCCCTCCGCCCCCCAGTTTTATTAAAGGCATTGCCACAGATTCATTAGGAGGGGGGAAAAATGGATGTTGGTGCATTTCTAAGGTTTGCAACCCTCCCAAAGTGTCCGGTTTCACTACGGGCTGTGCTGTAGAACGGTGTGAGTGTGTGTGTTGGGCGGATGGGTGTGTGTGTGTGTGAGGAGGGAGAACTCAAATTCATTACGGGCTCGTAAAAGTCCCAAATGAGAAAAGCGCCCCGTTTCTCAGCCTAGTCGGGGGAGGACTGGCGGGGTGTGCCTGAGGAAAGTCTCACCCCAGCCCCGAGTGACAGGCTTTGAAAGCAAGGACATGGGATGGCAGTATGTGTGCGCGTGTCTGTGTGTGCCTGGGGCAAGGGGGTGAATCCCAGAGGCAGGCAGCAACCACAGAGCAACTTTGGGGGCACTTTGAGGACTTCTAAGTCCTGGCGATCACAACCACCTTGTCCTTGTAGGCTTTCAGGGTAACGGGGCCAAGTAAAGGGGGAGGGTCACCTCCATTAAAAAGCCAAAGAAATCAACGGTCCCCTAGCCACTTTTCACATGCATCCCAACTGGGTCATTCCTCCATCCCAAACGGAGACAGTACCTCTGACCATCCAAAACACGGTTCACGCGCACGAGGCTCCCCGGAGACCAGCCCTCACCAACTGCGGGTCTCCAGGAGGCCGGGAGCGCTCCCTGCGCTCTTCCAGCGGGGCTAGGCGGAGACGCCTTCCGAGTGCGCCCATTCCGCAGATGGGGCAAAGTGAGGCTCGCAGCTCGCCCCGGAGCCGCCGCGCCGCCGGCACAGCGGCTCCTGCACAGACACACCCGCCAGCCCCCAACGATCCCGCCACCAGCGCCCAAGCACCCGCGCGCCCCTGGGGCCGCAGGGCCGGTGCAGCGCCCGCCTGGGCGCCCTCGCCTACCTGTGATCACCGCCGGAGAGCTCTGGCCCCCCTCCGCTCGCAGCCACACTTGCAGCGTGAACGCGTCCCGGGGCAGCTCGAGGTCGGCCCGCAGGCGCAGCTGCTCGCCTCGCCCGCTGAAATAGAGCGCCCGGCTCGGCGGGCTCGGCTCCTCCGCGGCGCCCCTCGTCTCCCGCTGCTGCCGCCGCCGGGGGACGCGCACGGCTTCCCAGGCACCGCCCGGCGGCGGCGGCGGCGGCGGCGGCGGCGGCGAGGCGCGGCGGCCGCGGGCCGC